AGATGAACATGGTACATACTAAGATGAACATGTTGCATTATGAGATGAATATATTGCATAATCCATTGAATATGTTAAAAATGAAGATGAACATGTTACATAATAAGATGAATATGTTATATAATAAGATGAACATGTTATATTTGAGATGAACATGTTAAAAATTAAGATGAACATGTTAAAAATTATAAGATGAACATATAAAAAAAAAGATGAATATGTTATATAATTAGATGAATATGTTATATAATAAGATGAATATGTGCTATAATAAGATGAACATGTTACATACTAAGATGAACAAGCTGGATTATGAGATGAATATGTTGCATAATCCATTGAACATGTTAAAAATGAAGATGAACATGTTACGTAATTAGATGAATATGTTATATAATAAGATTAACATGTTATATTTGAGATGAACATGGTACATACTAAGATGAACATGTTGCATTATGAGATGAATATGTTGCATAATCCATTGAACATGTTAAAAATGAAGATGAACATGTTACATAATAATATGAATATGTTATATAATAAGATTAACATGTTATATTTACTCACATGGCTGATATTCTTGATTGCATGTTTTGTAAACCCTCCTTCTGTGAACTCGAAATCCAACATTGCAGCTGCATCCTTCACATATTCTTTCTCAGCCCTCTAGAAAGTAGGGTCCATTGAATCGTGTGAATTGCAAAAGATGTTGCTTCTTGATCCAAGAGGAGCAATGTAGTGTTCTTGTTGCTTCATTTGATGATTCTTTTTTTCTCCACCTTTAAACCAGAAAATATATTAAGCTGAGATTGTTTTACATCAACGAGACCTAAATAGGTCTGGGTCTGCAAAGGCAAAAAAAAAAAAACAACAGCCAAGTTGTTTCCTTGCATAGCCTAGCCAGATAGGGCTAAAGAAGCAAAAACTATACAAATATCCTTATCAAAAATAAAACCACAAGAATGAACAGAAGAGCACAAAGACTTCAATTCACCCACAGCTTCTCTCATATCCCATGCTTCCAAATGCACAAAGCAACACATTACAGCTTCCCTGTTGTCCATATAGCAGCACCAGATGACACCACATTCAATTCTTCTCTTTTTCAGTTGAACCATAGTCCCCACAAACTCATGCCAACATCTCCAAATGAAGTTTTTTAATTTGCTCTTGGTAGGCAGAGCCCATGTAACCTTCCACATAACAATGAGAGACAATGTAATTCTTCTCTTAATTTATTGATTCAATCACCAAAATATGATGGCATATCCAATCCTTGAAACAACTATGGTGGCATATTCATTCCATGTAACGAGATCAAATAACAATTAGGATGTCATTGCCATAAACATAAATAACAGATGTTGGTTTTTTTTTTTTCAAATCAAAGTGCTTCATAAATATTTCCTTCAACAAAATGTATCAGTAAATACCAAACAATGCAAAGTTATAAGCAAAGTTGTAAAAGCAAACCTGCTGAACATAAGCAAAATAATTTAGGTAAACTACCTTCTTGTTTTTGTTATCCCGAGTGAGGCATTACATCAAACACGTAATGTGCTTTTAAAAATACAACAAAACCAAGTTATCAACAATCAAACCGCTAGTAAACAAATCCACCTGTCACATCAAATAATTATTCGTAAAATTCAATTACAATAGAAGGATGCACAGGCAAAGCGAAAATTTTCACAAAAAAATTCACAACAAATATTAGAAGCATGCCAATAATTTACAATCATACTTCACATTCAAAATAAAGTACCTCAATGAATCGTGCGTGCGATTGAAATCTCTATTTAGAAAATTCCATCGACAGGATACATATCGATCGTAAATCGTTCGAATATATGTTGGGATGTGCAGTTTGTTTTTCCAAAAGAATATACGTTCGAATCGTAGAACAACAATGAGGAAGAAGATGAAGAAGAACAATTTTTTTTTTCCAAATAAAGAAGAAGAATTGGAATCGTAAAATAATTGTGATGAATTGTTTTTGAATTTGTAGGATTGTTATATTAAATTAGATAACTATGTGGGGGCTTGAGAATAAATATAACAGGTACAAGGGTCTTGAGAATAAATAAAATAGGTACAAGGGACTTCAGAATAAATAAAATAAGTACAAGGAGTACGAAGGGTATAATAGGTTTTTAACCAGTACGAGGGGTATGAGACAAAGTACAATTCTACCAAAATTCTTTTTTGTCTTGTACCCTTGAATTCATCGTTGATTTCCGTCTTTTAGGCAATCTAAGGGTGAAATTAGGGGTACCTGATGTTAAATTGGCACAAGGAATACCTAACCCTAGACAATCCCTAATCCCTACTTGGTATTCAATTCGAATTCTTAGTTTATGTGAACAGAAATGCCCACAAAACCCGAGGATGCACGTTCCTTTGAAAACCCATAGGACGGAAAAAATAAAAAATAAAAAAATTATTATTTTATTTCAAATTTTCAATAAAACCATATATCCTAGATGTTAATACTACTATGTTGTAATGGGTAAAAGGGGCATGTGTCTATGTGACCCTACAACTTTTGTCTTAATTTTTTTACTTTTGTTTTGTTTTTCACTAAATTAAAAATTGCTACTGGCTACTTTGAACCCATAATTCTTTTATACATCGTAATTGAATATTTGCTCTCTTTAGTTTCAAAAGCTATACTCATAAAATAATTAATCCCAAAAAATTTAGTAAACATGTATAACAAATCTTAGACATATAAATCTATAAATATATTTTAATTAACATTTCTTTGTGCATAATATTGTATTAACGTAAAAACTAGTACCAATCCCGTGCGATGCACGAGTAACAGATATTCATTAATATTTGTAAATTAAATGATCATTAAATAATATCTATAAATTAAAATATAAAATTAATATGTAATACAATTTATCTATATTAATTTATTTAAAATGTTATATGAAATTTAAATTGTGCGAAATTACATAAAATATGTCTATTTAAAATTAGTATACAACCCGTACGGTACACAAAACTGATAATAAATTTCATTATATTTATTTCAGAATAATTGACATTTTAAAATTTTCATTTTAAAATTCTACTTGAATACAATGTGACTCTATAAAATAATTATTTTGGTCGAATCTTATCATATATTTAAAATCTATGTGAATAATCACGAATGTAACACGTGTTCTCTCCGATTTTATTTGGTATTCAATTCGAATTCCTTAGTTTAGGTGAAGAGAAATGCCCACAAAACCCGAGGATGCACGTTCCTTTGAAAACCCATAGGAAAAAAAAGTTTTATTATTTTATTTAATTTTTTCAATAAAACCATATATCCTAGATATTAATACTACTATGTTGTAATGTATAAAAGGGGCATGTGTCTATGTGACCCTACAACTTTTGTCTTAATTTTTTTACTTTTGTTTTGTTTTTCACTAAATTAAAAATTGCTAACTATTTTCTCTACTCGCTACTTTGAACCCATAATTCTTTTATACATCGTAATTGAATATTTGATGTCTCTTTAATTTCAAAAGCTATACACATAAAAATAATTAATCCCAAAAAATTTACTAAACATGTATAACAAATCTTAGACATATAAATCTATAAATATTTTTTAATTAACATTTCTTTGTGTATAATATTTGTGGTTATGTAAAAACTAGTACGAATTCCGTGCGACGCACGGGTAAGAGATATTCATTAATATTTGTAAATTAAATGATTATTAAATAATATCTATAAATTAAAATATAGAACCAATATTTAATATAATTTACCTGTATTAATTTATTTAAAATGTTAGATGAAGTTTAAATTGTGCAAAATTACATAAAACATGTTTATTTAAAATTAGTATACAACCCGCATGGTACACATAACTGATAACAAATTTTATTACATTTATTTCAAAATAAGTGTCATTTTAAAAATTTTCATTTTGAAATTCTACTTGAATACAATGTGGTTCCATAAAATAATTATTTTGGTCGAATCTTTTCATATATTTAATCTATGTGAATAATCACGAATGTAATATATGTGTTTTCTCCGATTTTATAATTCCTAGTGATTGTAGCATAGAAACAGATTTTAATAAATCAGATAAATTCGATTTTTGTGATTTTATTAATTTTTGTCAACAAATAATTTATAAACCTTTTCAACTATATAAATAACGTGTTAAATGTATTCTACCCTTAAATAACCACTAATCTAATCAAATAGATAGTCACTAATATAATCAATGTGTTGCTTAAAATCTCATATTTTAATAGTTCCTAATATAATTATGGATTTTAATAATTATTACCTTAATCAATGTATATTATGATTTAATTATTCCTTAAATAATGAGCCGCAATTTCTATAAGTGATTATTTGAAATATACCATAAATTGTTAAATTAATTTTCCAAAATAGTAAATAAATNGTGAGAATGGTAGATAGTGAAAGAAATAAGAATGAATCTGAATCATTAGATATATTATATCAATGGTAGTGATCAAGTCAAATTTTAATAATTAATGGTCAATCATTAATGGCAATTTGGTAAATAAAAAGATTTATGATGGTCAAATATATAGATTTTACCACTAATTAAGGGTAATTTAGACAATTGAATCAAACACACCATGGGACCCACCACCTTACACATTAACCCTACACCTCTTCACCTACCCCGTGATTCACCTTCTTCACACACATACACACACACAATTCTCCACTCACACACGCAGAAGCTGACCGTCGCCTCCTCAGCGGCGGAGCACCGCCGCCGCGATTCTGCAAACCGCCGCAACGCCTTCACAGCCCATCGCCGGAGACGAACGCGACCAAGGATGCTCCGGCAGAAACCAACCATCGTCTGTGTAGATCCGCCGTTGTCACAGATGCATCTATACCCTCCACCGACGTCAGAGTATGCTCGAGCCCCCAACAATTAAATCCACCACCGCCGACACAAGTCCTCCGCCACGGCGACACCAGTCCGGTGAGAGATGGAGAAGGTGACGGCAATCAACCGGACTGACTTAGTGTCGTTGTCGCGGCTGTTGTCGTCTGCCGTTGTTGTCATCGGCGGCGGCGATGTGGTCCTAGAAGGCTGGCGGCGGTGGGGGTGGGCTGATGTGGACTCCGGGCGGCGGGGAGATGGCAATGGTGAGAATTGGGGGATATTTTAGGGATTGTAATTTGGGGCCTATTCGGCCATAGTCCGACGGGTCATGACCGGCGGCTGCTGGTGGTTGCCGTCGTCACGGGTGGTGTTGTGCTGAGACGACAGGCGGCGGCTCGACAATGGTTCAGACGACCGGATCTGGCTGTGTATTGGGGGACATTTAGGTTGGATTTTTGTGAATTACACATTGTATAGGGGCCTTTGTGCAATTTTTAAAAATTTAATATGTCTTTATAATTTAGTCCATAGTAAATCTGAAAACCATATAAAAAAAATACTAAATGCACATCAAACATCTATTGGAAATTTTAACTTCGTTGAGTTTGGTTCATATTGTGCAATCAATTAGTCATTAAAGTGCATTTCGTTTAACGTAATTGTGCAATTTCAAAGCATAGAAATATAATAATAGTAACAATAATAATATTCTTATACAGTTTGTTCGTTTGGTTATTTCGATTACAAACAAAAAAAAAATATATTTGACATCCAACCAAGTTAATCGAGTTTTTTAATGTATATAAAGTATATCGAATCAAGATATAAAATTTCAAAGAGAATTTATGTTTCGATATTGTGCAATCACCAAAATATATATAAAAAAAAAAAAAAAAAAAAATTGAACCGAACAAAAAATATATTTAGTATTTTAATAATAATAATAATAAAAATAATAATAATTTATATAGTTCGATTTGAAACTTTATATTTCAGATCGATAACGTGAAATCTTACGTTCACTAATGTGCAACCCATTTAACAATTGTGTGCATTCCTTTTCATGTTATTGTGCAATCTATTGATCGGTTATTTTATGTGGATTTTCAATTTTAAAGCTTTAATATTGTGTATGCCAATCAACATTAATTCATATTTGTCATATTATTTTTTTTTTTTTTCGGAACGAAAGAGATATTATATTAAACCTCAAGAGAGAACATAGTTCTAATACAAACATGACCCACAGCCGAAAAAGAAAAACAGAGAGGACACGCTATAGAGCGGCCTAGAAATCCCATAGACGGGATATGACCCCAACAGGGTAAAACACATGAGCACTAAAAACATAAAAAGCAAACACAAACACAAAGGCCCCAACAGGGTAATACCCGAGTGTCGGGCCCCAACGGGGTAATAAGATGACACTCGGGCGCACAGGGGCCAACGACCCAAACCTAAAACACAAAAACAAACACAAATACAGACACAGACATCACAAAACACTAATAACAAATAACAAAAATAGTATAAAAGCCCTTCCGCAGCAAGTCAGTCGGCTCTAACCAGTGGAGAACAATCGATATCAAAGAATAATCCGAGTCCAGGATCGGCTTCCGAAACTGCCACAAGGCCTATACAAGAAGTCTAACCCGAACACAAACCAATCTCCGAAACGACCCGCCTCGACCTGAGGGACACCGAACCACACCCGCCCTAGCACCACCCTAGCACGCCTAACACCACTAGCCGAGCTAAGGAGCACCAAGACCCCGCTGTCTAACACCACTAGACTGAACAGGGAGGGGCGGCTCGGGTCTCAACTCCGATACACCATCAGAGCCCTGCCCCGTCTCTCGAACCACAAACCAGTCAAAATCACCACATACTACCGGCATCATGGATGGAAATCCCCGAACAGAGTCTCGCCAGAAAGCGGAACCTCCCGAGGCCCACCTCCTCATACGCACAAATAAATGAATTCAGCCCAAAAGTAAAATTGGAAGAAGAAACACCTTCAATAGAGACAGACGAGCAAACGACGCCTCCAATTGCAACAGATTGAAGACCAGAGAGCTCGTCGCCTCCTCCAATTGCGACTTCGCCGACGAAACGAGGAAAGGTAGACCAACCGACGCCAGCAATCCGCGGTAAATCTGGAAGTCCGGGACAGCAGAGAAGGGACGGCGGTCGAGCGCGACCACCGGCCGGCACCGCACCACCGCCGAGGAAGGCTGCACGATGACGAGAGAAGACGCTAGGGTTACTGTTTTTGGGGGGAGAAGGGTTCCTGTTCCAAGGGCCGACTGTCATATTACTTATATAATAAAAATATATTTATTATTATAATTTTTATTTACTATTATATATCATTGTTTGTTGAAAATAAATAATACACATATATAGATAAAATATAAATAATAATAGTTTCATATAGTTTGGTCGGTTCGCATATTACGTTTTTGTAGATATATTACTATTTTTTTTAAATAAATACAACTCGAATCAAACTAATACAATTTTTTTATATATGTGAAAAATGCACACTAGCATAACATATTTTTTTTTTCATGCGATTTCGTTGTGTGGAATACACTGTTATAATAATGTGCATTAATAAATACGTTACCGTGCATTTGATATATCATTAGTGTGCAGTCTGATATTCATTAATGTGCATCTTAATACTATATTGTGTATTATGCATTGTGATATTTTTTTATGTGTATTGAAATAATTTTGTTTTTTGGTTGGTTAAATTAATTTATTAATTATATTATAAAAATATATATTATATTTTAATATATTTACTTAATACTTTATATTTTTTTTTTGGTTTAAAATACATAAACTAAATATGCATAAAAACATATAGAAAATAATATGTTTTTATATATTTTCTGTAAATTACAGATTTGACCCATGAGTTAAATAGTAATATAGGTAAACCTTTTTGAAATTACAGATTGACCCCAGGGGTTTATGTGTGATTATATAAAACTTCTAAAATTGCAAATCCGTCCTTGGGATTTATCAAATTTCCAAAATAATGCCCCCATCTCCAAAACCGTTTTCAGTCCGTCTCTTATGCCGGAACCGGCGACTGCTCCCTCCCAGCCGCAAAACGACAATGGATTTCGACGGTTTGCCGCCGTTCCTCAACGCCTGCGACTGATTCGACGTCCTGGGGAATCGGACACCTCGAAAAAAACAGAGACGCGGCGGCTCAAAGACGTCGAGCCCGACGCGCGTTGCTGCCGGAGATCGATTAGTGCCTTCTTCATTCGGCGGCGAGTGGTGGTCTTCTTGGACAGAATCGGCTGGCACTGGCGGGCGGAGGTCGAAACGATCGGAATTTGCAGAAGCGTCGTGACGACGGCGGCAGCATGAGATGGCTGCAGGTTTCGCCGGCGAGTGTGTGTGTGTTCCGGCGGCGAGTTTGTGTAGTGTGTGTGTCGCGGGCGTGACTAGGTGTGTATTTACTGTGTATGTAATGTGAGTGTGTGAGAGAGAGTCAGACTGTGTGTGAGAGAGATAGATTGTGTGAGAGAGAGGGATTGTGACGTGGTTGACCGCGGGTTTGGGTAAGTGGACGGTTAAATTGAAGTGGGCCCATTAATGTGGTGTATAGTTGGATTGTGAGTAAATGTCCATAATACCCTTAATGATGGTATAATTTTGACTTTTTTTCAGCCAGTAGATCATCCAATCTAATGGTTGTGATCTATTCTCATTTCTTTCACTGAGCACCATTCTCATGTGAACCCAACCCTATATATATATATATATATATACGAGCATAACTTGGTTGAACTTATCAAATAGTAAAGCATTACTTGTAGATATAAAAAAAGTCTGCATAAAGCATTACTTGTAGTATAAAAAAATTTGTATTTATCTGAAATATGAACTAAGATTCTGCCTAAAATTTTAAAATTTCTAAACTTGGTAATCTTTTTTGAAAATTTTCAAAAAATTTCTCATTTAAAAATTAATTAATTAATTAATGGTATAAAGGTGGCAAAATCCATAAATAATTTTGGTATAAAGTGGACGATTTATCTAGATGGCTATATATATTTTTGGTAGAAAATGTGTTGTTACTAATAAATGTCCAAATTTATATTATACAATGGGCTATTTTATTTTGGTATAAAATGTCCAAATTTAAATGTTATGGATTTTATTTGGTATGAATAGAAGTGTATTTGAATATTTTAAAAACAAAATAAGTTGTATGAATTTTATTTGGTATGGATATGAAAATCGAATTTTAGGTTGATTTGTTATAAAATTATGATATTATTCACAAATTTTAGCAGATTCCAATAATAACTCGCCATAAAATATTGATGATGTCGACAAATTGGTATTTATTCATCTTCAAAACCAGAAACATCATTGAACAATTGTTGGTTAATAAAATTTAATTAGAATTTTAATTGTAGAAAATTAGATGACAAATTTGAACAATAAGGTAACCGACAACAAGTTTAGAAACTTGCGAGATAATATACATACATATATATATATATATGAAATATATAAGAAAATTTATTTTAGAGTCCAAATTTGAGTTTCAGATTTAAAAGTCAAATAAGTAGTTATTCTTAACTTACAGATCAATATTAATTTAGGTGTAAATAAAATAATCAATTATTCATAGTTTAATAAATTACTCAATTACTTAAAATTTTTTATGTGGATAGTTTATGCAAAGATATATTTTAGTTAATTAAATAATATTAATTTTATAATCATACTTATTATTCACATAGATTTTTAAATATATGATTAAGTTTTACCAAAATAATTATTCTATGGAATCACAGTGTAGTCAAATTGATTTTTGATAAAAATTTTAAAATGACACTTATTTTGAAATGAATATAATATAATTTATAATCAATTACGTGCACCGTACGGGGTGTGTACTATTTTTAAATAAACATGTTTTATGTAATTTTGCACAATTTAATTTCATATAATATTTTCAATAACTCAATTGCTATAATTTTAATATAGGTAAATATAGGTAAATATTACATATTAATATAGGTAAATACTACATATTAATTGCATAATTTTAATCTATAATATTTAATGAGCAATTTTAATTAATATAGGTAAATATTACTACCTCCTATTCTTTTTAAATGTCATTTTGGCTTTATCAACTATTAACCAAAATAAATGTCGTTTTGGATCTTTTGTACATATTTTTCCATTATTACCTTTATTTAGTTAATAAATACACTACGTCTTTTCATATTCACTTCATCTTTTTTTTTTAAAACATCAATCTCTATTTTCATTAATGAGGGTTATTATTGACAAAAAAATTATTCTTAATTAGTGTGCAACTTCCCAAAACGACACTTATTATGAATAGGAGGGAGTACATATTAATTACATAATTTTAATCTATAATATTTAATGAGCAATTTTAATTAAAGATATCTCTGCATTGTACAGATTGGTACTAGTAAAAATAAGAATCTCTAAATCGAACTAAACCGTTTATTTGAAACGGTTCTAGAGATTGAATTTCTCTCATTTTTTATGGTTTATGAGATTCTTGATCTGCAAACCCACTCCTGGTCGGGATATCGGGGCTGCTTCACTCCCACCTGTACCCGTATGCAAACCGCACCATAAATGATAAAATCTTTATACCCACTTCCCTTCATCTACATAGCCAGTGGAGCTGAAACTCGGTTCGAAGGGTTGGTTCATTTATTGGCTGATGAACTGTACAATTAGGGTAATTTCCTTCTCGGCAGTTGAAGTTTATCGTGGGTTTCTATTTTCGTTATTTTTGAGCAATAGCCTTTACTGATTCTGTGTCCGCTTAGTTTCTTTGATTACCAATTTTGTTGTTGAGTAATCTGCTGGTAATGTGGTGCTGAGAATATTTACAGATTAAGTTTCTCTGCACCTCCCATGACCAGCTACATCTAAATTTTGCCGATCTCTCTCCTTTTGGGATGGTAAAGATTCATTATTCTCACTTCCTTATCATTCCTGTGAAGATTGGTATATTCTAAATTAATAATTCAAGCATTAAAGATTGATAATTTTCCTCACTGTTTTCTTTTTATGGTTATTTTCAAGTAATTCTTTGAATGCAGTGGGTGATTAATGGGTGGTAACAAGGTTATAGTTTGTTTGTTGGATTTTTTTTGGGAGAATTGTGTGTTAGGTTGTATCCTTTTCCTTTAGATTGTTGGTGTTCTCATTTTTTTCTTTTGTCTTTGGAGATTCATTGTGTAGAAGTATAAATCACAAAAATTGACCATTTATTATTTTAAGGTACAGATATCTCTTTAAGTCATCTAAGTGTTTCTAAGCACTATAGTATGAGAATTTGTGTTTATCTCGCAAATACCCCTTGGTTCAAGGGTTTTACAATTTGCAAATTAGATACAAATTCCAATTAAGAGGGTATTTGCAGTTACTCCTGCCAGTAATAACATCAAAACAGTTTCAGCAAATAGGGGGATGGATTAATTGTTATATGAATATGGTGGTTAGGGATTGTCATGGCGTATATATGGCCTGGTGGAGATGAAGACGGTTTTAGTAATGCTTCAGTATAAACTAGCGATTTGAAAATGGTTGGATTCTGAAACTTGCCAAACTTTTTTCCCCCTTTTTTCTTCTTTAATTTGTTTCTTTGATCCTTACTTTTTTTCAAAGTACCAGACGTTAAGTTATATGTCCATCTTGATTTTTATGATGCTGCTACAGTTACATGCCTGGAACATTGCTCCGTGATGAGTTCATTTGCAATCGAGTTCGCACTTTCCTAATTGTTTGTTCAGTTTTCTCTCTCTTTTCCGGGGTTTCCTTTGCCTACAGAGTCTATAGATTGAATTGTTTGTTTATAGGGTTGATCCTTGTTAATGATTGCACCTTGTATGCATTACCTCAACATATAGATATATTTTTGCCTACACCGATTAAAAGGTGTCTACTTTTGCATAATCGTTATATGTATGCACACTACAAGAAACTTGTTTATTAGAAGAACTAAATATTGAGTCAATAGTGCTATCGATTATAGACACGACTATCTTATGTTGTTATATAACCACTTCAGAATAGGCACGGACAACAGGTCTAGTAAGTGTAATAGAAATATGGTTTATCGACATTTGTGGCCAACAACAGACTTTAGAAAAACAAATTTTCGTTGCACTGCTGTTTAAAACGCATGTATAACATTACTTTTAGAAAAATTCTATTATATTCGGTGTATAGATCATACGCATCAATGTTAGCTGTCACGATAATACAATTTATACTTCAATTATACACCCAAATTAGTAAATGCTAGTAGAAATTGGCAGCCATGAAGATTGTCATTGACCAAACCCAGTGATAGGTTTTGTTTTCTCATTATTGTTTTTGTCCCTTTATTTATATGAAATTTTAATAAATTGGACCCGTTTTCTAGCCGTTAGCTGGCATCGATATTCTTTTCCTGAGTAAACAATGTGAAACAATATTACTGGCAATAATAATAATAATAATAATAATAATAATAGTAGTAGCAGTACTAAAATAAATAAATAAATAAAATCAAGTTGTACCAATTTAATTTAATTTGGACAGCACGAACAGCATGTGATGATAAATAGTCAATACATTCACTTAGTGCCAAACATTTTCCTATTATCCCATGTGAGCCCAGCACACACCCACATTCCATTTTCCCCACACATAATACTATAAATGGCTGCTAAATAGACGAAACTTGCGTACACCCAACAAAACTCGAATTTTTTCCAATGGCAACAAATGTAAGCTTCCCCTCATTAGTGGTCATATGCAGTTTCTTGATCATAGGCCTTTCATCTGCTGATTGGAACATACTGAACCAGAGGATAGCCAAAAGTGGCCTCCAAATCACACTGAAGAACTATTGTGAGAGCTGGAGAATTAATGTGGAGCTGCACAACATTCGCGATTTCGAGGTTGTCCCTGAGGAATGCGTCGAGTACATTGGCAAATACATGAGCTCGACTCAGTACAAGGTTGACTCGGAACGGACAATCGACGAGTGCACGGTTTATCTTAGTACAAACTGCGGTCTGAAAAAAGATGGGGCTGACGCGTGGATTTTCGACATTGATGACACGCTCCTCTCGACCGTCCCTTACTACAAGAAGAACGGTTATGGGTAGCATTTCAATCTTAGCACAATCTTTTATTTTCGATTCATTTTAATTAGTTGGTAAGATATATTTGTATACATTTTCACTCCGAAATTTCCTTCAACTCAAAATCTAGCTCAACTTTAACTCAACTCCAATATCTTTGATATTATCGATATAATTAAATAATATCATCCAATTATTCGTACACATTAGATCTATTTTAATTTACTATTCATTTACTCACATAATTTTAACTAGTCGTCACTTCATATTATCTTTCTTTTACTTTCATATCAAATCAACTTTAATTATTTTATTTTAAATATTATTTTAATAGAAATCTAAAATTCCACTAACAACTAATCATACCATCTTTTTCCAAATTAATTATTGTTAACCAAAAAATTCCAAAATTTTTGTGTTCTCATCATCACTCTTTTCTTTTCCTTTCTTGGGTTTTCATAATATGCAGGGGAAAGAAACTGAACTCAACATCTCTAGAGGAGTGGATGAAGCAGGGCAAAGCCCCAGCTTTAGAGTACTCCTTGAGGCTTTTCAATCAGCTAAAAGGGCTTGGAGTTCAGATAATTTTAGTATCCTCAAGAAGAGAATGTCTGAGATCAGCCACCATTGACAACCTTGTAGATGTAGGATACCATGGCTGGAAAAGTCTCATTCTAAGGTCTGAAGCCGTAAATAAATAATAGACAATGAAAAAAAAAAAAAATGTTGGAACCCCATATGGCTAATACATTTCTTGAATTATTATATACAGGGGTGCAGATGATGTGAAGAAGGATGTTCAGAAGTACAAGGCTGATGTGAGGAAACAATTGGGCAAAGATGGGTATAGGATTTGGGGCATTTTGGGAGATCAATGGAGCAGCATTGAGGGGCTTCCTACACCTAAGAGATCATTCAAACTCCCAAATCCTCTCTACTATGTTGCATAATGTTTCTTCCCTATTCAATTGTTCTTTCCTTGATGAAATTTTAAAATTGGGCATTGATTCATCAAGACTCAAGACATTGTATTGAAACAAGAAACGCAGTTCATAAACCAAATCTTATC